TCAACCCTGCTTTCTTAAACTTCTCATTCCACTAAAATGTGATGAAAGCCAGCTGAGATGTTTTCTCAGCCTTTCTTCCTCTGAAAGACATTTCTTGAGCTTTGTGTAAGCATTTATTTTTGCACAAACACTCCTTGGTTTGGTTTGAGTCCATTCAAAGGCAGAGGAAAACTGTTTACAACGCATGTGTATTTTACTGCCTTTTCTCTGGAAGATGCACCATGACCCCAGTCTGACTGTAGTTTTATAGATAAATACAAAAAACTAACTCGAAGGTCTTGATGGGAATTTATTTTATCAGAACCTTTAAAATGTAAACATCTTGTGGTATGTGATAGAGAATGTTTAAAAAAAAAAGAAGCACATTTTAACTACAACAAATAACAGACAGGTTACTTGCAAATCAGTGTTAAATGTGAAACATAAAAGGTATTCAGCCTCTCTTTAAGCAGCAGCATTGCCACAGGCTGCCAGCTTCTCTACACCTGATATGTTGAGGAAAACATTTTGTGCCTGTTTCACCATGGCCTCAAGTAATACAGCAAATAGTCACACTAACTTATATTTCAATCATTAGCTGATAAAAAAAAAAAAAGCAGCTGTGGTGGAAAACAAGAGCCATTCCAGTTCTCCACTGGGGCCCGGGAGAATGTGCTTCTGCAGCTGTGCCACCCAAATGTCTGAGTGAAGGCTGGTTATCACAGTTCAGATGGAAGCTATAGGAGTGCGTGTGTGTGGTTGTTTGTCTATGTGTTAGCCCTGCAATGGATTGGCGACCTGTCCAGGGTGTACCCCGCCTTCGCCTGATTGCCGGCCGGGATTGGCTCTGGCCCCCAACGTGACCCCGTTCAGGGACTAAGCGGTAGAAAATGAATGAATGAATGAATGAATGAATGAAACTCGTGTACAGTTAAGGCTGAGAGAAATGTCAGTTTTGAAGGTATTTGGTCATAAACCAAGAACAGGACAATTAAAACATATGACCTGATGACAGCACTAAACGAAAGGTTAAGAGATCCCCTGTGTTAATACAATTGATCCTGACGGAGACGTGAATAACTGTTAAAAGTTTTATGAGAGTCTACTGAATAATTGAGACATTTCACATCTAACTACAAATTCACCTTCGCAATGGCACTAAAACAATAGTGAGATGATCACTCGTCAGTAGGATTCATGGGAACCATAAAAGGGTCTGCACAAAATTTCATGGCAGTCCAGTTGTTGATATATTACCGCCTGGGCCAATATGATGGACCAACCAACAGATCAACCTCCATTCCACACAGTTAATATGGCTAAAATCTTTATAATGTACTGAAGGAGCACAAACCTTCACCAAAGCTAAACAATTCGACTTTGTTACACTCAAAAAAATTTGAACTTTTATGTGACCTTGCCAACACTCGTGTCACAGTCACGGCTGCAAATATGATAATTATCTAATGGCAGATATCCCAGATTCAGAGTACTAACCAACATCTCACCAGCTGTGTTTTTCCCAAATCTGGACTCCTCATGACAGTCAGTATATGTCCTGTTCTGCTTCTCCTCCCTCCCTCCATTTGTGCTCTTTCAACCCACAAACAGTGTGTTGTTTATGAAGCAGCAACTCTTACTGCTACGACAAAATGCTGTGTGCTCTTCACAACAAATTTACAGGGTGTAGAAATTCATCTGACAGTGTCCTGAAATAAAAACATTTTTTACATTTATCAAGAGAATAAGTAAATGTTACTCAATTTCTGGGTACATGTTTTAATATTTGCATCATCACCACTTCTTGCACTGTCTTCACCACCACTGAAAATATTTGCTTTGAAAGAATATTTATGCTGGGATTAAAAGAGGGCTTGCTTCCTTGACTAAACTAGCAGCTCTGAGGCATCGCTTTGAGCTTCATGCTAACATATATATGGCATATATGCTCACAACTAGAGTGATAAAATGCTGATGTTTAGTGGGCATAAAACATTATTGGCAAGTACAGTATGTTTGAACATACAGGAATTTGACTCCATTACAGAAGCTCTCAATGTGCTTTAAGGCAAAATGCATCCATCAATATATTATCTATACCACTTATCCTAAGGAGGGCTGTGAGTGGCTGGAGCCAATCCCAGCTGGCACTGGGAAAGGGAAAATGGACTGAGAAAAAAAAAGTCATGGGATCTCGAAAGTCAGGAGGCTTCATCCTCTGTGGACTAGGAATGTTTGCACAGAATGTTATTGTAACACATCCAATAGTTTTGACATATTTCAGAGTGGCTGTCAAACAGACCTTGCCATCCAGCAGCTTCAGTTGTGTTCAAGATCCAAAGTCATTACGTTCTCTTTAATGTTTACAAGTATTTGGCTGTATTTAAGAGGTTTTTACAAAACAATGTTCATCATGCAGACCACAAGAACCCAGTCTTTGATTTATGGATTTATGTGATACCTTAAAGTTGCATTATTCCCATATTAAATTCACTTTATAGAATTTTAGGAGACAGTATAACTAGTCCTCAAAAGTACAAGCTCCTAACACCCCAAAAACCCCCTGAGTGGCTGTTAGTGTGTGCAGCCCCCACTCTCAGCCAGAGAACTTTTTCCCCCACCAAGTGGTAACCATTATCTCCCAGTGTGTTTGAAGAGACTAGACTGGTGCTCTTCTGAAAAGGCTCAGATAAAAGGTTCTGGCCTGGGGCCTCAAATACCAGCAGCCCCTGTGAACTGCTGGGTGAGTGTGACATTAGAGGGGTGTAATTTCTGCAAGGCAGCAGCAATCAGGGCCAGAGAAAGAAGCAGAGCGGAACCTGGACCTGGAAAGGCCACAAAGATGACATGAAAGGGAAACAGATGAATGTGTGCGCTTGTTTGTTTTCTGTGTTTTCACTGAAAAGCCGAGCAGCTCATCACACCAGTATTGTGCAGTCCAACACTGTCATTAGCAGAGACTCCTCATAGAAAAGACAGTTAGTCACAAAAGGTGTGTGTGAGAGAGAGAGTTGGGTGTCGGTGCAACTATAATGATTAGAGAGGAAGGCTTCAATGAAAGACTAAACGAAGTGAACTGCAGGGCTCAGAGTGACAGGTTCCAACTTGATTAGAAGGTTCAGGGTACAATAACAAATAAACACTACAGTTTCCCATCATTTTGTAACGTGTTAATATAAGTTTAGCCCTGATTAAACATACAAAATGTCGAATAAGGGGTAGTTATGAACATCTCTCTGTAAAAGTCCTTCATTGCCTGTCAAATGATCAGTTTCAAACATGCATTTGAAAAAACAAACAAATAAACATGCATTTGAACAAAAATATCATAGGTTTTCATCTGTGTTAAATGACGTCCCTGGAGATATCATCTGTGTTAGTGTAGGCACATACCTGTTCTAAAATAGCAGTTGTTTTCCTGGAGTGGATCCTTCCTGTTCAAACCCACTGTGGTGCCTCCGGCTTCCTGCCTCATTTGGCCCGATGCCTCAGTCTGACCCCGACCAGGTGTTGTACCAGTAAACCAGAGAGAAGCCTGGCACAGAGCTGAGGGAGGTTCAATTCTTCATATTTTCCAAGACAAACTTGGGATACGCCAAGAGATTTATACAGATATATTAGTCAGTGCTCCCTTTCTGGTGTAGCAGTTTAGTGTTCAATGACACTATTGATGGCTTGGTTTGGATAACATCAGTGCTTCACACTTGGGTCGAAACTACTAAGGCTGCAAACAACTACTATTTTCTCAAGTTATTGCAAGAAAAGTCTGAAAACCAAAGATATTCAGCTCATTGTGATACAAGACAAAATAAAGCAAATCCTTTAACTTGAGAAGTTGGAACCAGCAAAGTCTTGGCACAAATGCTTCAGAAATGACTGAAACAATTAATCGATCTCAAAAAAACATTGTACTTGCTCAGGTTAAGCAGTGGCTGGCCTAGCTGGCTTGTAGCGGCAGTCACCTCTGGTAACCAGGTCCGTTCAACTGTCCAACTGCTGACACATTTAACCTTCAGTGTCACCGTATGAATGGAATTTCATATGATTGTGTGGTTCTAACCTGACAAAGGGATTCCACCTCTTCAGCATGACCTCCACAGACAGTAATTAGCCTGAGAAGGGGACGTGCCCTCCTCGGGTGAACATACCTTTGGAAGATTGTATGGTGGTATAAAGAGAGATTAGGCCCCTGGGGTGTTTAAATGCTAAACAGGCAAAGGACCCTCAGCGCTTTTGGTCTTTTGATCCTCCACCTTTTTAAATGCAAAACAGCTCCAATGAATTCAGCATTACATTCAGTGATAAAATTTCCATACAAGTGATATATAAACATAACCAGACTGCTGCTGTGCTGTTCATGTCATTTAGAGTCAATTAAAAATGTCCATCTGTCTTTTCATTTTTTATTTATTCTTCATTTTAAGATACAAAGGCCAAACATTAAGGAATCCTCTTAAAAACAACACTGGAATAAAAAAAATTCTGAGGTCAGCAATTCAGTATAGAAAGAAATGAACTCATACCATAGAAACATCATCAATTTTCTGATCAATCATTAAAAACACAGAACAACAAGGAAACAGGTCTACAATTATTTGAATGTTGATGAACATCTAGAAAAAACTGAAGCTATGTCACCAATTAACACAGATTGGTTCAAAACAAAATGCATGCAGACGTGGATAACAAGGGCGACTTCTTCTGGAATCATCTGCCACAATAATAAATATTGTACAGTGTTTGACATCTATCCTCGACCTCTCAGTGTCACTGCTAGCCCCTCATGTATTTTTAAAGATCTTGAATTAATATTCATTATCAAAACTAACAATATGATATTGCACAAGCCCATAATTCATGGGGGTGGAAAGGTTTAGAATGCAGTGACAGGGCAGCAGAAGCAGATGATGTGGCGGGTTGTGTCATGAGTTCAGTGCAACCGTAAAAAAATCCGTTTTAATTTAGTGTCTCTCCGACAGTATTATCAGCGGGAATGCAGCTTTGAACTGCAGGTAATATGTTGGACCCTGGTCTACAGCAAACATCACATCATCTACCAATAACAAACAGATCACAGTACGGGTACTGTATATATGCAGGTCGCATATTAACACTAAGCAATCATAGCAAGGGTTTGCCCAGACTTCAGCTTAATCTAACAAAGAAACTAAACCTACTTTCTGTTCCTTTTACCTCTAATGTAATGTTCTTCAATGCACAATACTGTTTTTTGTTTTTCTTTTTGGTTTTTGGATATTAAATACCCAAACACAAACATCAAAGTGCCATAAAAACGTGAAACTGAGTAAACACAGCTAGAAGCACAGTCGCGTGAGTGAGTGAGGGGGTTAGTAGCGTTTCGGTAGCAGATCTGCTTTGACCTGAGACAATAACATCAATCAGAAATTTTCAGCCTCTACACAACAGTAAATCTCTCTGTTTGTGATGCAAGCCCATTATTGATTTAATACCGTCATTCTAGCAGAACATTAACTACAATACGCTGAGAGCAGTCATGCCAAAAATCTTTTTAGTACTGAAAATTGATCTAAGAAT